GCTTTCGCCTGTATCGGTTTTAGGACACTGGTCTTTGCAATGCGAGAAGTCAATCTGGATGAGTACTTAAATCTTCTCGCGGAACTTAATCGTGCTCAGGGCCACGTAGGCGAAGAGCGCTCTTTGGAGTTGAAGGCAGTTCATGCGAAAATCGAATCGAAGATGGTCCTTATTGGTGTTAGTGCCGTAGAGGACAAGTTACAACCCGGAGTCAGACACTGCTTGAAAAGCCTTCGGGCTGCGGGCATACAGGTAAGTGTTCATCAACTCTCTATCAATTAACTTTGGTGGATGTTTGCTAGACTATGTGTGTGCTGGGCCTGACCTTAATAGTCCTTTACAGCCGTTTATTTGTTTCCCAGAAATGTTTTGTTCGTCGTTCATATTGGTCGCACCTGCAATCTTAGGAAGAGCGTCATTAAGCCTACCTATTCTCGAAAGCCAGATGCAGTTCTTGTAGTTTAAGTCAAATAAACAAAACAATTTAAACATTGGTCCTTGGTGATCTTGAAGTTAATGATATTGCGAGGGTCATAATTGGTCTTTTCATTCCACTGCAGAACTCGCCTGCTATGAGCAGGTTAACTTACAAGGATCCCACTTTTGTCGTTCCGAAATATCACATAGACTGATCTTCTTATGGCGAGTCCTTTCGTCAAGATACGTCAGTGAGACAGGTTATAAAAGCAGCATTCATCTGAACGGAAGCGTGAAACAACTGGCTCCGTTCAAATAAATCAGTTTAATGTAAACCGCAGCAAAAATGACTAACACTTAATTTTAGGGTAAGGTGATGCCATACTAACAGCACACGTACTAGGCAAAGGTCCATACACGCGTGTTTCGCCGATGTTTTGTCGCTGCATGGCGCAGATGCGAGGGGTTCGGATCGTCGGTGAGTCCACCAGCATTCCCCGTATGTTTTCTGGTGGATACTCCAATTTACAAATTGTCGCTTTTTAATTTCCTCAGAAATTATCTACGAAGTTGAAGTAGATCAGTTTATTCAAGGTCTTTAGGCACAGACCGGGAATTTTACACATGAAAATTTGGACCAAAGTCCATCAGTCACAGCGGGTAACAGCGTAATATTCATTAACTGCCGACATAGACCAGCCGAACCCCTCGCAGCTGCGCCATGCAATCGGCAAAACATCGGCGGAAC